AAAAAAAAAAAAAAAAAGGAATAAAGATCAGCCAGGCCAGGCCTAGGCCCTGAGAGCCAAGGAGGAAGGGCCCAAGAGCCAAGGAAGCCTGGGGCAGAATGGCAGAGTCAGGGCCCCACGTGGGGGGTGGGGTCATCCCCCTCCCCCCTCCACTGCATTTGCACAGTGTCAAACACAACAGGCTAACCCTTGAGAATAAGAGTGACCCAGGCTTAAAAATCGTGACCCTTGTTTGTTCCTGATTATGAGAAAGATGCCGGAAGATACCAAAAAGCTCAAAGAAGAAAATGAAAAACCACCTGTAATTTCCTATGCGGAGACTTAGTATTTTGGTATACAGCCCTAGAATCTTTAAAAGTCCATTATAATAGCTACTGCTCTGTTTTATAAAGGGGGCGCTACTGGATTTGACGGTCTGACGGCCAAAGAGGGGAAACCACTCACCCAAGATCTCACAAGGGCTAAAATACTAATTTGTCTTCACTTTTTTTTTTTTTTCCCGTCTCCCAGTCTATCAGGAACATATGCCCATGTCAGTAAATATTTTTCTGCCACATGATTTTTGTCAGCTGTGTTGTGTTCCAGACAGATAAAACATACTTTGTTGAATGACCCTCCCTGTGCTGAGCATTTAGGTTGTTTCTGATTTACTGCTCTCATTACACAAGCCTCAGTGCACACCCCCATACAAACATCTTTGCTCCCCTATCTGCTAAGCCCCCATCTTCCTATCTCAGGAAGTTCTAGACCAAGTGTATCTGCTGGGTCACAGGGACGCACAGTTTGCTGTGGATGACCCAGTTCCCAAGGAGGAAATGTTCAGCTTGATACTGATGGGGGGGTTAAGCGTCTGTCACGTAGAGCTGCCTAGAGACAAGAGGGCCCATGGGGAGTGGTCATAAATGTCCCCGTGTCCCACACGTGGAAGCCAGAACCAGAACCGGGCATCCTTGGGGGATGTGAGGGAGGGAATGGGGAAGTCAGTGACTGGGAATCAGACACTTCACAGTGGGCTCAAGGGGTGACTTCCAACATTAAAACTTTATAATGGTCTGCAAGCAAACATGGAGATGTTCTCTCTCGTATTAACCTTCTCAACAGCCACAGAACAAGAGGTCTGGAGGCAAATCTGAATAAGCTAGCTGTTTTAACTCCCCTCTGGCTGCCCACTGCATTCAGGACAAAGCCCACCTCCTTGCCTGCCCTGGCCTCCACCTCCCTCCTGTGTCCCTTCTGTCCCCACCCTCACTTTGCTCCATCAGGGGCTTCACACATCCTGCTCCCTCGGTCTGGAATGTTCATCCTTGTTTCTCCAACTCCCATTACCTGCTGGTGCCCTTTAAATGCCACCTTCTCAGAGCTGCTGCCCTGCTCTGTCCCCCCCCTCCCCAATTTTGGTTTCCATGAGACACTTTCTGCCTTTAGCTCTTGAATCTGCCCTCTCCCTCCTTGCACACAGCCGTTTGTGACAGCACATCCCCCTGCATGCTGGTTTTTCTGACATCAGCCTCCTTCGGTAGACTGTAAGCTCCAGGACAGCAGGCACTGTGGCTGGCTTGCTCGTTACTGTACCTCCAGCTTTTAAAACCGTGTCTCGTACGTGGTAGATAGATGCTCAGTAATTTTCAGTTGAATGAATGAATGAGGTTGGTCCAAGCCCACTGGTGGAGGAAGGATAGGGACACCTCCCCTTCCTCCTTCCTTCATTCAAGCAACCAATACTGGTTGCTCCTCCCTGGATTTCAGACCCCATGGCTCCAGGGTGGGGTCGGGGGATGGGGAAACAGAGCCACGAACAGGGCACAGGGTCCTGCCTTCAGACAGCTTTGGGTTTGAGGGAGGGGGCCAAGCCAGTCCTCGTAAAGAGCGTTTGGGGGCACGTGGGTGGCTCAGTCAGCTAAGCGTCTGACTTCAGCTCAGGTCACGATCTCACCCTTTGCGGGTTCGAGCCCCGCATCGGGCTCTGTGCTGACAGCTCGGAGCCTGGAGCCTGCTTCGGATTCTGTGTCGTCCTTTTCTCTACCCCTTGCCCCACTCACACTCTTTCTCTCAAAAATAAACATTCAAAAAAAAAAAAAACAGAAAGAAAGAAAGAAATGAAAAGAAAGAGTGTTTGAGGGCAGGGAGAAGCTTGAATTTCCTTCCTGCCTTCAGTTTCAGGAGGATGGCTTCCTGGTGCTGGAAGGATTTTTGTCAGCGGATGAATGTGTAGCCATGCAACAGAGGATTGGCGAGCTAGTGGCCAACATGGATGTCCCTCTCCACTGCCGCACGATATTTTCCACCCAGGACGAGCAGCTGAAGGTCCTGGTAGGTGTCTGGGGCATCGGATCTGTGAGCACAGGATCTGGTCTTTGATGTGGGGCTCCGTCCTCAGCCAGCAGCAGTGTGGAAGGGAGGGCCCCAAGGCCCATGGGCTTGTTCTGATAACAAATCAGGCCCTGAGCCCTCCCCGTGCCAGGCTAAGTGCCTTCCGTACGTATTTCCTTCGCTTCTCACTCTGGGTTTATAAGGTTGGTATTATTACCCCCATTTGACGGGTGGGGAAAATGAGGGTTGGCTCACTTGCCCCAAACCATGTTGTTAGTAATTCATGAGTGAGGATTTGAACACAGATCTGCCTGATACCACGTCCTTGCTGTTCCCTGCTCTGCTGTACTTCCCCAGTAGTTCTCCTGCCACAAGGGCCTCCTTTGGGGCCAGCAACCCAGAATGAGCCAAGCGATTCTGATGGACCTATCTTGTGTAAGCCTTATCCCCCCAGTGAGACTAGAAACTCAGCTTCTTCACCCGCCACCCCTTGTGACTAATTAGGACTCAATGCAGTTTGAGATGGGTAAGTTGAGACTCAGGGGTTCTCCCGCACAGTTTGCTTAACCCTTCGGGAGCCTGCCTGTGGTGTGGCCTTCAAGCCAAAGCTGTGGTCTGGGCCCATTAACGGGGCTCGTTCACGCTGAGGAGCTCCTGCCATCCTGTGGACATATGGGGAATTACAATGGCCGGGAGGCTTGCCACCCAGGGAGTGGGGCTGGGGCACTTGAGAAGGGCAAAGGGTTACAGAATGATAATTTCCTCCAAATAGTAGGTTTCATTCGGCCACGCCCCAGCCATGTAGATGGGGACAGCAGAGATGGAGGTCCAGCGTCCAGAGACCGGTCACTCAAAAGACTCCAAGGAGTGAGGGGGCCGATCTTGTGCTCTCCAAGCTGCCTTCTGAGAATGTTCTAGAGACCAGTGAAGGGTTGGGGGGGATGGGAGAATAAAGTGTATGTATCTTGGTTTATAATGCTTGCAAAGAGCTCAGCACAGTTCCTGGGACTTGGTAAACCCTCAGTATTCATCGCTGATCTTGTCAAAGACTTTGAAATGGGCATTAAAAGGAAAAAGATCAATGAACGTCCCGTCCAGTTTTCCAACTCTGTGAGTTGTACAGAACTGATAATAATGGGGGCACCTGGCTGGCTCAGTTGGTAGCATGTGAGTTCAAGTCCCACGTTGGATGTAGAGATGACTTTAAAAAAGTAAAATAAATGAAATATTTTTAAAAAGCTGGCAATAACGTCCACAGAAATGGGTATGAACTGGGTCCAGAAAAATGGAATCATTGCCCTGCCAATCGATCCGTTTCACATCCATTTGCAAATTCATTTCAGTGTTTGTTATTGCCTATCTGTATGTGCTTCTTAGAATTCTTTGAACATCTTACTGGTTCCCTTGTGAATTAACAAGTTAAGCAGAACCTTTGCCATGTTTAGCTTCATTACCTTTATTTTTTTCAGCTTATTCATTTATTTATTTAGAGAGAGTGTGGGGGAGGGCCAGAGAGAATGGGAGAGAGAGAATCCCAAGCTAATCCCAAGCTAATAGCACAGAGCCTGACGAAGGACTCGAACCCACAAACCGTGAGATTATGACCTGAGCCAAAGTCAGATGCTTAACCGAGTCACCTAGGTGTCCCCATTATCTTTAATATTATTATTATTATCAGTTATGCTTCCCTGACTTGTTTCCCTCACCCCTGATCCTGATACGGAACACTTAAGAATGTTGGGGGAAAAAAACCCATATAGTGTTCGGTGGGAAGGGCTTGAAAGGGTCAGGCAAGTCACAGCAGAGCCCCACAGGCACGCGTGAGAGCAGATGTACGCAAGTGAGGGGAGCAGGGGCAGGTGGGGGAGGGCTGTGCCACGTGGAGAACCCAGGTAGGGTGGTGGGCGCCCTCAACTCCACTTGTGCCGCTACCTAGGAAGGTAGGGAGATCTATATGATGGTAGCCAAGGGTAGCTAAAACCATAAGGAAAAAAAAAACATCACGCATCTTCCTGAAGCACCATTTTCTTCTGATGCTAAGAAATCTTAAAACATATTAACATTAACAAGGAGAGGCTGTTAAGAAAACAGAAAAAGATGAGCGATAGTTTATACTCATCGAGCAGTTAGCCACGCCCTTGCTGAGTGTTTTCCCTCGAGCAGCAGCAGTAGTAACGATAATAATAAAAGCAGATACTCATGTGGCACTTTCCATATTCCAAGGACTGTTCTAGTGCTTTATGTATGCCAATTCATAATCTCTACACCCTATGGGATACTTTTAATAACATCTATATTTTATGAGGAAACTAAGCCCAGAGAGGTTCAGTAATGTGTTAGGGGGTCACACAGCACCTCAGTGGCAGAGCTGGGATTTGAACCCAAGTATTCTAGCTCTAGGGTCTGGGCTCTCAACTACTGTAAGATTCAGCCTGTAGAGGCTGAAGTCTCCCACAATCCAGGGGAGGTCAGTTCTATTATTTCCCTTTACAGAAGAGGAAACTGAGGCACTGAAAGGTCAAAATAGGTGATCCAAGGCTACCTGGGACCCAAGGCTATTTGATTACAGTGTCTATGTTCGGAATCATAGCATATCGAGCGTAGGAATCATGTGACTTAATTAAGAGGTTTCTGAGAAATTTTATGTCTGTGGATTCTGACAGTGCTTCGGGGCACCCGGGGTTCCTGTTCACTGTCTGTGCCTCAGTGGGCGAGTGTGAGAAGCACCAGCGGGGTCCGCAGCCCTGTGGGGTTAGGAAGCATGAGTGTCCCCTTCTCTCTGACCCCGTGATGCTCTCTCAGTCCCTCTGATGTCCCCTCTCCACAGGACAACAGAGACTATTTCTGGGACAGTGGCGACAAGATCCGATTCTTCTTTGAGAAAGGTGTTTTTGATGAGAAAGGTTCGGAGCTGGGGTCCCAGAGGTGTGAGAAGGGCGGCACTGGGGTATCTCCCCCCAGGGCTGGGTGGGCGCTGAGGCCAGCTGCCCAGGGGAGGGTGGACTCCAGCTTTTTTGTCTTTACCTGTTCCTCGTGCTACAGGCGATTTCCTGGTCCCTCCCGAGAAATCCATCAACAAGATTGGCCATGGTAAGCAGGCACGCCGGGAAAAGGAAACGGGGAAACTGAGGCCTGAAGCATGTAGGGGCCTAACCCAAAGCTCACAGGAAGTTAGTGGCCCAGCAAATGGCATTTGTGGCTGCAGCTCCCCTCTGGACCTGCTCTTCTGGCCTTATGATGCTAATCACACGACATTGCCACCACAGCACTGGGAGGAGGGGCCCCCAGAGCCGCACATGCAGACCCTTCAACTCTCTGCTGCCCGGCCTGGGGATGATCCAGGCCCCGGCCATGGGGGGACTCCTGGATCCCACCACTTCCTGGAGCCTCCTCGAGGAGCACCTAACATGTTGACATGGCCCCTATTCTGAGACCCAAAAATCAAGCTATGAGGCCTTCTTTTTTTTTTTTTTTTTTTTCGGGATCGTACATTATGATTTATTTTGCAGACCACTTATTTTTAAGCTTGGAGTTATATCATGGGAGCTTTGTAAAAAAAAAATTGTGGCAAAATACATGTAATATAAAATTTACCATCATAACCATCTTCGTGTATACAATTCAGTGGCATTAAGTGTGCTCAGCTCTCACTCTTTGTAACAACAACAATAATAGCAGAGAGTGAGACGTCCAGGTATTCTGTGCCAGGCCCTGGCCTGGCGTTGCAAATGCATTCACTCATCCAGACTCGTGGTAGCCTGGGAGGCAGGGCTGGTCTTTTGGATCTGCGGCACAGAGGAGAAACTGAGGCTTATAGGAGATAAATGGTCACTCGAAGTAGCTTAGGGTAAGTAGCAGCACCGAGATTGCTACCAAGTTCCAGGCCCCTTTGAGTCAGGTCTGGAGTGAGGTTCCCAGATGGCTGGAAGGTCAAGAATAAGGTCTTGGGTGGAGTGAGGTGCAGGCATCGTGGGCCCATCCCTTGGTTATAAACAAGCAGAAAGCTTAATGTGTGCAAACGGGTGAGAAGTCCAAGTGAGGCCTGCGTCTGGGGGCCTGGGACCAGGCACAGAGGGACGTGTGGGGGCTGGGGACTGGCTGGTCAGCCCACCTCTGTCCTACAGCTCTGCATGCCCATGACCCTGTCTTCAGGAGTGTCACACACTCTCCCAAAGTGCAGGTGAGCAGAGGTGAGGGTGAGGGTGAGGGGGGTGGGCAGGTGGGTGGCCCAGATGTGAGTGAGAGTAGGCTGGAAGTCTGACCTCTGCCCCCTTCCAGGCCTTAGCCAAAAGTCTGGGCCTCCAGATGCCCGTGGTGGTGCAGAGCATGTACATCTTCAAGGTGAGCTCCCTGTCCTCCCCAGACCTCAGTTTACCCTCTGTAATGTACGCAGAGTACTCACATCAAGCCCCTCCTTACGAAGGGCCAAAAAGCTGCTTCCCTGAAGAATTAGTAAGTTTTGAGGAGAACGTGCAAAATCCGTCTCCTCTGGGTGACGGCACTTTGTCGTCACTTGCCTGGCACTTTGTGCCACTTGCCTGGCACTTTGTCGGTGCTCAGTTAAAATCTGGTGGCAAGAGGCAAGGAGACCCCCAGGATTCTCTTCTCCCTTCTCTTGCCATTGAAATGCTCTGCTCCCAACTTCAAGGCCCAGCTCAATGCCACCTCCTCCAAGAAGTCTTCCAGTGTTCCCCTGGGAAGAGAGGGACCCATCGCTGACCCTGGCTGGGCTGAGAGGCTTAACCTCAGGCCTGGGACCCAGCCCCTCTTGCTGTCCTTCCCTTCGGCTTTGTTCTTGGTAGGCATGTGTGTGTTCAGACTCAGAGCACCATGCCAGGCAGCGTGGTTTTTCTCTTTGCCGCCCTCCTGGGCCTGGCACATGGTGGGTACTCCATAGCTGGGTGCTGGTGTGAAATCCTTGGAGGTAAACACCTGTGGCCGGGTCAGAGCATCCCCCAAAACTCAGAGTGGCCCCTGCTCCCCACCCCCACCCCCGCCCCCGGCTTCACTGGCCCTTCTTTTCTCTTGTAGCAACCTCATCTTGGTGGCGAAGGTAAGCGGAGAACAGGCTGTGGGGCCCAGCAAAGGCCACCACGGGAGATCTGGGACATTAGTGGTTGGGAGGGATGGTGCTTGGGGAGATGTCCATGGGCAAGAGCCTGGGGCAGGAAGGAGAAGCTACCTTCGGTTCCTTTGTGGAATAGTTGGTTGGGAGGGTGTCCTGGGGCCCTTGGCACAGTGGTTCTAGAGCCTGGGTTCTTGAGCAATCCCTACCTGGTTAAAAATACAGATCCCAGGGCCCCAGGCCCTAAGACCGTTAGGCAGCACGGCTGCAAAGACCTGTGAGCCTGTATTTTTTCTTTTATTTATTTATTTTGAGAGAGAGAGAGAGAGAGAGAGAGAGTGTGTGTGTGTGCGTGGGGGAGGGGTGGAGGGAGACTCCCAAGCAGGCTGTGCGTGGGCAGCATGGAACCTGACTCGGGGCTCTAACTCATGAACCGTGAGATCATGATCTGAGCTGAAGTTGGGTGCTTGACTGAGTGAGCCACCCAGGCGCCCCTCCTGGAGGACTGATTTAACAGAGAAATTGCCCATCTAATTTCAAAGCCCTCTGGATGCATAGATACCCTTTGTGGCCTCCCTTGTGGGCGATTATCTACTTCTGCTTGAATACCTCCAGTGACAGGGGGCTCATCCCCTCACAGCCAGCCCTTTCCTTCCTCACGTGAGCCCAAGTCAGCCTCCTTGTGACCACCGGCTCCTCCCCACCGTTCAGCCCGAGGGGCGAGCAGGCCCTCCCTGAGTTCAGCACCCGTACTTCCTTCAGTGGCCCTTCCCTCAAATGCTTTGGAGTGCCTGCCATTAGGACACCTTGCTCTGGACACTGGATTGTCCAAGTCCCTCTTCAAGTTTGGTGCTCAGCAAACACACAGTTCCCCAGGAAGGAAGGAAGGAAGGAAGGAAGGAAGGAAGGAAGGAAGGAAGGGAGACTAGCACCCACAGACTGAAGTCCTTTGTTCAGCAGCCCTCCATCCTGGCTGGGGCCCAGCATCATCCAGAGGGGGTTAAAATGTGGCTGGGGGCCAGTCACCCCACCTCTTCTCCTTTCGCGCCCAACTCCCCAGTCTTACACCAGCGGCTCATCTGGTGGCTGGAGATGCTTGTGCTGGTTAAGGACAGTGACCTTAGTTGCCTGGCTGGGATTAAACAATCACAGCCACTTTGTAGCCATTAGAGCATCCGGCCCCGTACTAAGCACTTTTCACACGTTTTCTCGTGGGATCCTCCAGCGACTCTGTGAGGTAGGTTATTATCGAGGCCGCTTCAAGGTTTAGAGATTGAAGTTTTGAGAGCCGAAGTCTCGTGCCCTCAGTCTCTATGCCAGGAAGCGCTGGGATTCCAACCGACCACGGGAAGGCTCGGGCTGCAGGGCTCTGAGAGCACCAGGGAGCGGGGAACAAGGCCAAGGTGAGGTGGGCCAGGTTCCTCACACCTGGGGCGGGGGGGGGGCGGGGGGTGCTGCTGCAGTCACCCCTCACCAGGACGCCACCTTCCTGTACACGGAGCCCCTGGGCCGGCTGCTGGGCATATGGATAGCACTGGAGGATGCCACGCTGGAGAATGGCTGCCTCTGGTTCATCCCGGGCTCCCACACCAGTAAGGACACCGGTCTCGCCCTGCCCACTCGTATCCCACCCCCGATGGCAGAGAGACTCGGAGAAAAAGAGAGGCTAAAGGCTCCCCCTTGACCTGCAGGTGGGGTGTCGAGAAGGCTGATCCGGGCCCCTGCTGGCTCGATGCCTGTCACCAGCTTCCTTGGGTCTGAGCCTGCCCGGGATAACAGCCTCTTTGTGCCCACACCAGTGCGGAGAGGTAGGTGGGATGCCGGCGGCAGGGTGGCAGGCTCTGGGGCCACGCCTGTGGGTCTGTGCTTGCTCTGAGGGCTGTGAAGCCACAGAATGGGAGGCCGGGCTGGACAGGTACTGGGAAGTCTCAAAGTTGCCTGATTAACAGCAAGGCCTCCCAGGGTGCCGGGCTGGCTCAGTTGGAAAAGCGTGCTACTCTTTATTTATTTATTTATTTTTTAACGTTTATTCATTTTTGAGAGACAGAGAGAGACAGAGCGCGAGCAGGGGAGGGGCAGAGAGAGAGGGAGACACAGAATCGGAAGCAGGTTCCAGGCTCCGAGCTGTCAGCACAGAGCCCGATGCGGGGCTCGAACTCACGGACCGCGAGATCATGCCCTGAGCTGAAGTCGGGACGCCTAACCGACTGAGCCACCCAGGTGCCCCAAGAGCATGCTACTCTTGATCTTGGGGTCATGAGTTCGAGCCCCATGTGGGTGCAGAGATGACCTAACGAAAGAAAACTTCAAAACGGAACGAACCAAAACAGCATGGCCTCCCAGATCAGGCTAGCATCCAGACCCTGCAACTTCCGGGCTGTCTCTTGGGGCAAATGACTGAACCTCTCTGAGCCTCAGTTTCCCCAAATGTAAAGCGGGGAAGTCCGTGAGATGGGTGACGTATAGATGATGTGGGACACAGTAGATGCTGACCAGATGCCGCTGCTCCTGTTAGAATAGGGAAAGGAGACGTCCAGCCCGGCATCTGCTCGCAAGGTCCCAGCTGACGGGCACAGTACAGATGCTTCTGCCTGGTCCTGCAAACACCACAGAAGGGGACACCCTTGCCAAGGCTTGCCGAGGGCACCAGGTCACAGCAGAAGGGACTTGATCCCAGGGGAGCCTCCGACCCTGGGGCAGGCTGCAGGGCCCCGAGTTTTCAGGAACGGGAATGGGGATGAACGGGCCACAGAATCACTAGAGGGAGGAGCGCCCTTTGTCCCCTCTCCTGACCTGCTGCTGCATTCCCGCCAGGGGCCCTCATCCTAATCCACGGAGAGGTGGTGCACAAGAGCGAGCAGAACCTCTCGGACCGCTCACGCCATGCCTACACTTTCCACCTCATGGAGGCCTTGGGCACCGTCTGGAGCCCGGAGAACTGGTAGGTGGCAGGGTGTGCGTGTGCCCTGGACAGGCTCCTCAAGAGGTCCTGGAGGCCGGGAGCAGTGACTCTGGCACCTCAAGGTTCTCTCTGTCTCCGCAGGCTCCAGCCAACAGCTGAGCTACCCTTTCCCCCGCTGTATGCCTAAACATCCTCTCGGGGCCGGGCCCGGTCTGTCTGGGCGAAGCTGCGGCTGGGCAAGCACCAGCACCTCGCCCCCCTGCCCAGCTGCGAAGGGGAAGTCGAGTCTCTCCTCCAGTGCTTTCTCCCTGCCAGGGTCTGTGCCCCTTGGCCCTGCAGACAGACAGGCGAGAGGTGGCAGGCGGGCAGCAGGAGCCTGCACCGCATGGCTTTCCGGAGACCTCTGTCTCCTCTTCCTCTCCCCTGCCCCAACCCAACCTCCCCCTGGAGGCAGCCTGTTACTACGAAAGGGTTCTGGCTGCTTCTCTGCCAGCTTCCCACTGTTCTCTCCTCTCAGAGGGAATTCTGATTATTACGGTGCAGGACATTCAATAAAAGCGACTTCTGAATACAGCTTCTCGATCCTTCTTTCCCAAACAGCCTCGCTTTCCAGATGAGAGCCCTGCTGAAAATCATCCCAGGTACCCCAGCCCCGCCCGGTGAGAGGTCTGCATGATTTCAACAACCGTAACATTTAGTGGGCGTTCATGTGCCAGGAGCTGCACGCGCTTTATCTGTGTCCCCACGGCTCCCAGTTAGGTGCTCTTCCCGTCGGCACTTAGAGACGAAGAAGCTGACACCAGGGGTGGGAAGTTTAACTGACCTGCGGTCGTGCCGCTGTCCGGTGGTTCAGCGAGGTCAGCCTGATCCAGAGCCTGTGCTTCTGACCTCTGTGCTCCCCAAGACTCCTTGCTGGGGGAGGGGAGAAGACCAGGGCTAGGACTACAGCCCCAGGTTCTGGTCCTGGCTCTGTGACCAACTTGTTTTCCGGTCTCAGGCCAGGCCCTTCTCTCTGGGCCCCATGTGCCACTTGTGCAGTCAACGGGGCCAGGTTAGGCCTCCACGGTCCCTCTCGCTGGGAACGCTTGGCGGGCACGTAGACTTTCCGCAGGAGCAACTGTCAAACCCAGACCCGGCCCTGCCGGGGTCTGGGCCAGAGGCTGCAAACTGGGGCCACCGGCTGATTCTACACTGCAGATGTGTTTCTGTCTGGGCCTCAGTGTTGTGGGGTTTTTTTTTGTTGTTTTTTTTTTAAACAACTTTTTTAAAATTGGGAGGTTTCACCTAACAGCGCACGTTTCTAAGCTTCCTTGAACAAGGTCAGTAACGTTGGGCCTATGGTGGAGCATGGAGATGCCCAGGCACAGCCGCCTCCTTGGAGGTGCCTGTGGTCCTCACTTCCCACGTCCTCCACTGCGTTACCTGCCTGGCCTTGGCAGCCGTATGAATTTGTGACCTTACTTTTCAGCCCCCGGCTCTGAATTCATGGGCAAACCGAGGCCCGGGGAGGGGGGACAGAGCCCTTCCCCAAGGCCACCCAGGGAGTCAGTGAGGCAAAGCTCTTCCCTGGCGTTTTGCTGCCTCTTTTAGCAAGCAAAAGGGAGCCCGAGAGAACGGAAGGGTTTGTGAAGTCTCCTTTGAGCCCCAAAGGAATGTCCTAACACTTTCCTCTGAGGGACAGGGCTTGGCAGGGATCCCCAGCCCTCAGCACAAGCTTGCTACAGCTGTGCTTCTTGGTGGGCCAAAGTTCGCATGTCTTCCAGCCAGGCCCCTCCCTGTTGGGCTGGGTGAGAAGGGAGAACCTTGTCCAGCCTTGAGCAACTCGCTATGCTATCTTCCCACTGATGGGAACTGTTCACCCACGCGGCAAATGTCCACTGGGTTCCCCCTACAATGCCAGGCTCTGGTGGCACGCGGGGATGTGGTGGGGAGCCTGGACTCTGCCCTCACAGACAGTAAGCATCCGGTGTGGGCCCCACAGCAGAGCCCCAAGTAGAACTCTCGGTAAACCCTGCCAGTCCCCGGTCTCTCGTTTCTTACCAAGAGAAGAAACACAGGTTTGGACATGACTGGAGTGTGGGAGGGTCTCAGGAGGGCCCCTCTGATACGGACCATGGGCCGTCCAACCAGTCCTTCGTCAGCAACGCTCAGCCAGGCAGCAGAGGCTGTGAGGCAAGGGTGGAGCAGGCTGAAACAGGAAGTCAGCCCCGGCCGGATACTCTTCCTCCAGCCCTTCCAGGCCTGCTACAAGACGATCTCACCTCTCGCCTTCAGCGCTTCCTAGGAAAGCACATGTGCTTGGCTACTTCCTCTTGGCTTCTCCTCCAAATGTAGGCAGGGGAATAAGGTCACTCTGGTCTCCAAGTACAGCCCATAAAACCTCTTGGCTTGCCTGCCGTTTTGCTGGGACGAGGACTGGCCTTGGGTAATAATGACACTTTCCCTTACTATTTGTTCATTATGGACGGGCTGTGGGCTGGATCCTTCACACATCTCACCTCACAGCACCCCGTGAGGTGCAGGCTCTTCCTGTTGCCATCTTGCAGACAGGAGCACTGAGGCCCAGAGTGGGTAAAATAGTGTAGCCAAGGACTCTGACCAGATTAGTTTGACTCCAGAACCTGAAGTGGTAACCTTTACACTCTACCGCATCCAGGATCACAAGGTGAGGTAGAGCGGGCGG